TACCTGTCCAGAAGATGAAGGAGCCACTGAAGAAAACCTTTATTTTCCTTATTTGGGGTTTGTTCTGTACTGTCGCTGAGAATGTTTACCTTTGAGAGGTGTGTGTTTGTATGTTGTTTGTGTTTCCATGTGGCTGGTGGATAATTGGGGAAATAAAAGGCATACCCACAACTCACACCCACATGCAGAACGTCAGCCTGCTTGAGCCCCAGCTCTGGAAGCTGGATCACAAAAGCCCTCTTCCTGGACTGTTCTGTGAGACCCCGGTGTCTCCCCTGCCAAAGCCCCTGGTGACTCCCTTCCCGTTGCGACTGCCTAGGTGCAAGGGCAGGGCCTCCAAGGAGCAGACACCGAGGTGGACTAACAGGGCAAGGCTTTGATTGGGGAAACCCTCACGTGAGAGCAACTAGGGAGAGAGCCGGGAGCGTCAGCACCTGTGATTCAAGGTTGGTCCTGGGTGGAGGAGCCGGGGAGGGAGTGGGGAAGCATCCTAGCCCCCTGGAGTTTCAGGAAGGTTCCACGCAGCCCTGTGGAGGTTCTCCAGGCAAAGCTGCTGTCAGGGGAGCCCCTCTCCCAGCGGTGCCCACCCAGTATCGCTGCTGTACTCGGGTACGTTGGAACCAACAGCTGGAGCCTGGGACACCGCCCTCCCTGTGCATTCTCAGAGTCCCACACCCAGGCTTGGGGAGATGGATTCTGGGGGGATCTGGGGCTGGGGCTTATCCCAAGGGCTGGGGTTGGGCTACCTAGATGGGTTAGAGGAACACATAGTGGGAAATTGAGAAAGGGGATACTTTCGGAGAAAAGGGTGAACCAAGGGGTGGAGGAACCAGAGTGGGAAATAGCGTGACTGCAAGGAGACCTTGTGAAGGGTAGTCGCACACAGCCCCAGCTGTTGAATCTCCCCCTGCTCTTCCCTCCCCGTGGCTCTGCTGTTCCTCTCTAGGGTAGGTCTCCTGCAGTCAACCTTCCAACAGGAAGGGCTATTCTACGCTATTTTACTTACACCTTCATATTCTTCTTCCTTTACTATAACAAGTGGCCATACTTGTATTTAAAACAAAATTTCCTTTTCGATTGTAATGATGCTTTCGCGTCCATGTTATCCTCTATGGAAATCATGCGTTAATTCTCCCGTGCACTGAGCAGTGTCGGGTCACCAGCACACGGCTCCAAGCAGTGGTGCTGTCCACACTTTATCCTGTTCTTTAACCACTGAGACTCCAGTCAAGTCTGATGCCTCATGCCGCCTTGTGTGGTGTTGAGTGGAGAAGAAGGGGACAAAGAGGAAAAGGTGGCCTAGCCACAATCCCCTGCTACTCCGTGAAAACAAAGAGACAGCTTATTAAGGAGACCATTTTCTGATGCTCCTGGTGGTGACCAGCAGCGAAGTGGAATGAGGTCCACGGAAGACACCATGACAGGAAGGAACACCGGGAAGACAGCAACTCAGGAGGGCGTTAGATCAGACCTCCATCCCCTCAGCATAAGCCAGGGGCGGCTGAGGGAGGAGGAAAGAGAGCTGATTCTTGGAGTGCGTTGACCTTCATAAGCGTATACTCAATGCCAAGTGCATTGCATGCATTGTCTCTCTCCTCACCACAGACCTCCCAGGGCAAGAAGCTAGGAATTCGCCTCCTGGTGCTACATTGGTGGGCAGCCTGGCTCCCACACTGCTCTGCTGCACAGTCTCTGCTACAAAGCTCTACATTGTGCTGGGGCCTGGGAAACAGATGAATGGCTTGAGGGAAGGTCAGGTCAGCCTGAACTTCTATGGACACTTAGTGAGTCACTGCAGGAGAAACTTTGGAGGGGCCCCTTGGGGTCCCCCAGCATCCTCACCGGGGAGCGTCTAGCCTGTGGGCACACATGCTCAACCACATACATTTGACTGGGACGCTGTCAGCATGAGCAAATTGGCCTTTTGCTTCCAAGCCCTGGCTCCATAAATAAACCTTTGCTAATTATCTCTGGAAGCTCAACACCTTTGGTGTATCTAGCTCATTTAACTGCCACGCCTACTCTTGTTAGATCCGGTTCTAAAGTAAACTATGTTCTTTGAGAACTTTTGCATACAGATGAGTCGGCAGCCAGTCTAAGCTGACCCACAGACTCATAAAAACCAACAGGGACTCAGGCACCCTCACACAGGACACCCAAACTCTTGGACCAAAGGTGCAAGGACTTGCTCACATCCAGGATCTCGTTGCTTCCTTGGGGACCAAGAAATTGAGTTTTTGCCGCTACATTCACTCTGGCAATCCACGAGGTAAGGGGGAAGAAATGCCACATCGCCTCTGTAGACAAAAGAGTCAGTTCTGGTGGGAAGTTTGCCCCCTTTTCCCTACCTCAAACTGATAGGCTGTCCATCACTCCTGGGTTTAAGAGTGTGATTTTAATTCACCCCATTGATGCTCTTGATCTTCTGGCCACTTGTGGATTATGAGCTGTGGACCTCATCCATCCTTCCCTTGGTCACCGCAAGGCCCAGAACTGGAGGGCAGTTAACTTCTTGGGTTGCATCATGCCTGGTTGCACCGTCGTCTTGGTGGTAGAGATGTGTGGAAGGCTTCTGTCTGATGGCATCCCACTAGCTGCTGCAGACCTGTTCTAGCAGGACCTCTCCAGGGGCCTATGAATGAGCAGGCATGGAGCCCCCTTCTCCAAACATCAAGTCATGTAGATTCTTTGCGGAGTCACTCAAAAAAAAGTGTCTTTTGCATTTGGCAAGGGTTAGGAAAAATGTGTGTTTTCTTTAGTTGGGCATACAAAATAGGGCAAAACATGGGGATTGTGGTAATGTGCCATTTCAGACAAGGACTTACCTGGCCCTGCTGGTGAATTCCCTTTAGTTATGGGCTCGGCTTGCCTCTTCTTACTCTATACTAATAGTTTTATAAAAATGTACTTCCCTAAGTCAGGTGGGGATATTTGGGGAGGTATGAGCTATCGGGGGAAAAAGATTGTTTTGATACTTAAGGCATGAAGATGGATTTTCTTCTGTGTAAGCAAGCTTAGGTACAGGGCTGAGCTTGCAAACAAGGACAGTCATGTGAATTTCTTCTGAATCGTTCTTGGAGCTTTGCTGCTATTGGGGGCTTTTGGTGTACTCTGATTTTTTTTTTTTTAGCATACTGGATGCTGTAATTGCCAAGCATTCTGTGCTCGGCAGAGCTGAGACTCAGAATTTCTCATGCATGTCCCTTTCCTTTTCTCAGCAATTCATTTTTCTGTGCTAGGTTACAAATCTCCCTAGAACCTCTTCACAGCTCAGTGACTTTCCAAGGATCAGCTTGGACTCACATGCTTTTACCTGCCCTGTGACTTCCAAGGACAGAATGCTTCCTGAATCCTTCTCTCTAGAGTTTTTGTTGGGATTGCTTATATGGCAGCAGTTGGAGCCTGAGTTTGACTGACATTTAACACCCTTGATTGTGCAGTTTAAGATGCTAGTGATGACTATTGTCTTTCTTCTCTTCATTACTTTTCTCATTAATATTATTATTATACAGTGTTTTTCCTCATTGGCCTTTTAAGAAGCTTATAATGTGCACCCACTATGTTCTGGGAAGTATGCTAGGCCCTGGGAAATTGCTGACTAGCTCCTGTTCTCATGGTATTTACAGTTTAGGAGGGTTATGTACACAATGTACATGGAAACAGGCTATTGCACTCCAGTAGGATAAATACTGTGATGAATAGGGACTGTTACACAGCAATGCAGTTGCAATAGAATCATCGCATGCATAGGAAGGACATTCTACTTTGCCTTCAGAAGACCTCATGGAAGCATGATCCTAAGCTCGTTGGGTAGGCAGGATGTGGCTTGGTGGGACATGAGAAAGGACACTCCAGCACAAGGATATGGCATTTACAAAACTACAGACACAGGAGAGAGCACAGCATATACAGGGAATACCACGCTGGTGTGGTTTGAGGTGGGTGGCATGGGGAGGGATGGAGAAAGATCAGAGAAGAGAAGCTAAGGGGAGAGCACTTGGGTGAAGGGCCTCATGAGTGACCCCAGGGAGCTTGGGCAGTACCTTAAAAATAGTAAGAAACTGTGAGATCATGCTTACATTTCAGAAAGGTTGCTCTGTCTGCAAAGTGCAAGCTGGAATTGAGTGGGGTAAGACCAGTGCCAAGGAAGCCAGTTAGGAGATGACTAAGAGGCGGGACACGTAAGATCTAGTGGAAGACTGGCTGCTAGGAAATACAGATCTGAAATAGGACCCTGGAAGCTGGCTGGTCTCATTCTGGGAATTTTCCCAAAGTCCAGACTTTGAGTGGAAAAAAGCATTTCCTTTACATTTACCCTCACACATCCACGGTGGCCTCTTGAGCACAGAGAGAGGAGTTAATGACCCCAGGTTATGGGGAGTCAGGAACTCTCCGGGGCAAGGGGTTGCTTTTTCTGGTGCCTCCTCTGCCTCCTCAGAAATAAAACCTGCAGTCGTTTGCTCTTCCGTGCCACTGAAACGGGTACGTGTCTGGGGAGAAGGAGAGCTTTCGGCAGACTGAGGCTGCATCCCTCTCCCGCTAAGCACCTATGCTTAGAGGATGCATTGCCCTGGTTGTCTGTGGGACCCCACTGTCGCCCTTACCAGAAGGGCAGGAAATGTGTCACTCCTTATGGTAGATGTTTAAGTTGAGACACTGTCAGAAATGATAACAGAAGTGCTGGAAGTGAGGTGCCCTTGTAACTCTCATGGTAGCTACCATTAATTGCCCCAATGTGCTCCCTATTTAAACTGAACCAGATACTGAATTGTCTTTCCTGTGGGTTATTCCTACAAGTAGGCACTATTTTTCAGTCCCATCCTGCAGGGAGGTAAAGGTGACAGAGATGAAAGGAGGGAACTTAAGTCAGGATCTCCTGAGTTTTTCCCACCAGGGCCACCCAGAGCACGATGATATCGGTGAGGTGAGCGGGGCACATGGAGAGGCTGCCGGGGGCTAGTTACACACTCTCCCTGGCCTGGAGAGCTGAAGGCATCGGAGTCTTGGTACACTTGACATCCCTTTAGGCACACTGGTGGAGCAGCTCTGGGCTGAGTACCCTGAGCCAGATCACACAGGCTGTACGTGCAGAGCTGGGATTCAGGCCTGTGTCTGCCTGATTCTGCTGCCCACCACATACCCATCCTTCTCTCCACTTGGCAGGTGAGGTAACAGTCCTTGAAATACCAAGTGAGGTCTCACAGTTCAGAATATCTGGATGAAGCAACATTTTGTGGGTTTAAGCCCCAATCTACTTCAGGCTAGCTGCTTTATGGCAACCCTAGAACTTTTCTCCCTGGAGCTGAAGTATCTTCTGGGGTAATCATAGGGACTCAGAGTGACTCAAGCTTACAAGTCACTAAGATGTAAGAAGATACAGGGATATGCACTGTGTTGCTAGTTCGAGTCCCTACTGAATGAATTTACTGGTACAGAAATCAAGGGTTGCCCAATCCTTAACTGAGAATAGTTGAATACAGTAATTAGTTATAAAGACTTCTGCTTAATACCCTCTTTCCCCCATATCAGCTGGCGTTTTCAGAGCTGGAGGTGATGGTCAGCTTGATCAGGAGGTTGAGAGAAAGCCAAAAGGGACCATCTACCTTCGTCTCAAGGCCAAGAAGGTCATTCCAATTTTGGAGGTTGACAAAAGAAAGTACAGGATGCTGGTGATTCAGGCTAAAGCCCAGAGTAAAGAGGAAAGGACTCTGACCTTCCCACTCCACTCTGTCTCCTGGAATATGTAAGAGTCAGGAGTAATACCAGCTCTTCTCTAGGCGGCAAAGAGTGCTGGCTTGATTGTGTAGTTCAAAGTCTTTGTGAATAAGCAGGGAGCGTGCCGAAAATGGGAAAACACACAATAAAACCAACCAAACAAATATCTTGACAAAAGAAAAAAAGATGAAGGAAAAAATTAGTGTGAAGACATATAGAGGTAGACCCCTAGAAAAGTCAATAATAGAGAAAAAATAACACTAAGGTCAAAGGGCTCATGGGAGTCCATTCTCTGCTCCAGAGGGGATGGTCCTAAGCTGTCCTTGCTACGTTTGTTATGAAAGATGTTCAAAGAAAGGGTGTCACCGGCCTTGCCATTGCCTTGTGAGAATATGTGGCCAACAGGTGAGCCAAGCCTTTACACATGCAACTCCCTGGTTCTGTTTGAAGAAGAACAGAAAAGAAAAACAACAATAATGCAGAGAATGGCAATGTCAAGACTTGAGAATCCAAAGATGTTCTACCCTGAGCAGTTGCTTCTTAAAAACTCTTATTAAGGGCTTGAGCTGCCAATATAAAACTCAACCCAATATCATAAAATTAGAAAGCAGATCATTGAAACTAATTTTAAACAGTCATTCTGAGTGTTCCTCAAGTCCAGCTTACTCAGTGCGCACAAAAGAAGAAACTGTGGCCTGGTGGGATGCAGTGATGCTCAAAGTCCCAAGAAAAATGTCAATCTGAATTCACCCAACCTCACTTTAGATCAGGAATTGCCTCATTGAGAGAAACCTGTTATTTTCCTAAATCAGTCTCCCTGTGTGCAACAGTCTGTCTCAATGTGCATGTATCTGCCCCGAGCTACGTTGTGAAGATATCAAGCCTTGTAAACTTTGCATTCTAGTTAGATGCATATCACCCACTTAATGTTTCTAGAAGAGTCTTTTTGAATATGCTGTGAAATACAAGCCAGGAATTTCCATTTATTTAGACTTTTGCAATGTCCATGGCCCTCCCTCTTTTCCTATTGCACAATGTCCAGTGTTTCTTGGCTCAGATTCAGGAACTGTATTTACCAGCATGTCTCAATGGACCTCCATATCTCCAGGGAGTAGATTTAACTATGCGACAAACCACACTTGGAAGCAACAGGTTAATACTGTCTTTGCAATTAGAACAACCAAAGCTCTCTCAGGTGACTACCCCCAGGGGAAGACTCATGGTTCACTGCCCTTGATTAAATTCTTGAGAACTTTCTGGCTTTATCCAGATCTGCCATTTGTCCTTGAGGAGCTGACAGAACTCAGAAACTATGTATAACTGTTAGCGTCTTGCAGGAAAAGACTCCCTGAAATTTGGCCCCTTGGACCACGTCCGATGATCATATGTTTGGAGAAATAAGAGTAATGCCAGTGGTGTGCTGGAAGTTGCATTCAGCCATTTCAGGGATCGGGGTTTTGGATGCCATTTGGGGGTGGAACTGTTGATGAATTAGGCGTGAAACACAGAAGGCTCAAACTGGATTCAGAGATAAGTCACGGGAGTGGTCAGAAG